GGACTACAGGCGCACACCACCATGCCCAGCTAATTTTTGTATTTTTAGTAGAGACGGGGTTTCACCTTGTTGACGAGGATGGTCTCAATCTCTTGACCTCGTGATCCACCTGCCTCGGCCTCCCAAAGTGCTGGGATTATAGGCGTGAGCCACTGTGCCCAGCTATTTATATATTTTTATTAAAAACTTTTGGCCAGGCACGGTGGCTCACGCCTGTAATCCCAGCACTTTGGGAGGTCGAGGCAGGGGGATCACGAGGTCAGGAGTTCAAGACCAGCCTGGACAATATGGTGAAACTCCATCTTTACTAAAAATACAAAAAAAAAAAAAAACTAGCTGGGTGTTGTGGCACATACCTGTAGTCCCATCTACTCAGGAGGCTGAGGCAGGAGAATCTCTTGAACTCAGAAGGCAAGAGGTTGCAGTGAGCCGAGAGTGCACCACTGCACTCCAGCCTGGGCAATAGAAGGAGACTCTCTTTAAAAAAAAAAAAAAAAAATATATATATATATATATATATATATATATATATATATATTTATTTATATTATATATTTTGTAGAATGGATATGTTGCCCAAATTGGTCTCAAACTCTTGGCCTCAGGCAGTTCTCCTGCCCTGGCCTCCCAAGGCCTCCTGGGATTACAGACATAAGCTTCTGCACCCAGCCTGTTTTTTAGCAGATAGATAGATAGAGCATAATTATTTTAAAATAGCATCAACTTATATACTGCTTTGCCTTTTTCACTTACGGCATCTTGGGTATATTTCTGTGTCAATATGTATTTTTCTAGCACACTTTTTATAATGGCTGGAGTGTCAGAGGATATTACTACTACTTAGTATTTCACAAAGCTGAGTTTACTGCTTACTTAAGAGAGAGTTGCTGGGCAGTTGATCTCTTTTAGACCAGACTGCTATTTGACATGCGGTTTTTGAGAATCATGAAGTTCGAGGATTGGTGGATATGGGCATGATGGATTGGCATCGACCGTGGAAGCATGGCTGCTTGGGTGAGACAGTTATTGATATACTTGGTATTCAGAAATGTTGGCCAGGCTGATCTTGAACTCCTGACCTCAGGTGATCTGCCTGTCCTGGCCTCGCAAAGTGCTGGGATTACAGGTGTGAGCCATTGTGCCTGGCTGCTTACTTATATTTTTATATTTTTTACTTGTCAGGCACAGTTCCAAACACTGTACAAGCAGTACCTCATTTAATCCTCATATAAACACGTTAAATAAGTACTATTATGCCCTTTTTACTGATGAGGAAACTGAGATATAAATTAAGTAATTGGGCAATGCACAGTGGCTCATGCCTGTAATCTGTCCAAAAGAACGATGGCTGTTTGGACCAGTGGCATGGGTCCACGTTGAGTAAAGTAACTTATTGAGGCAGTTACAAGTAAAGAAAGTTGGGCCAGGGGCAGTGTCTCACACCTGTAATCCCAGCATTTAGAGAGGCTGAGGTGGGAGTATCGTTGAGCCCAGAAGTTCAAGACCAGCCTTGGCAACATGGTGAAACCCTGTCCCTACAAAAAAAAAAAAAAATTAGCTGGGCCTAGTGGTGCACATCTGTAGTCCCAGTTACTCTAGAGGCTGAGGCAGGAGGATCACTTGAATCTTGGAGGTGGAGGTTGCCATGAGCCAAGTTCGCATTACTATACACCAGTCTGGTTGACAGAGTCAGGCCCTGTCTCAAGTTTACAAAAAAAGGCAGGTTTATTAGAGAACATAGGAAAATACATTGCCAGAGAGGCAACCAGCAGCCTGCCAGAGAGAAGCCAACTGCAGAGAAACAAAGGCTTGATAGAGATTTTATAGGACAGTGTTCATGCTATAGGCTGAAGAGGGCTTTGTGTAGTACAACGCCAAGCTTGCAGTGAGCTAACTTGCAGGTGTATGGTGATAGATGGGCACAGGAAGATTGTGAGTTATTTGCACCGGAGGACTTATGTGTCCTGGACCGTGAAGAAAGGCAGATTTGTGACTTACCTGCTTTTTCTTATTGCTTTTCCCTTGGTCCCACCAGCCTGACTACTTTTCCCTTTAGCATTTTAGTAGGCTAAAGTGGGAGGATTGCTTGAGCCCAGAAGTTTGAGACCAGCCTTGGCAAAATGTTGAAATCTTTACAAAAAAATAAAAAATTAGCTGGGCATGGTAGCCATTCGCCTGTGGTCTCAGCTACTCAGGAGGCCGATGCAGTATCGCTTGAGCCTTGGAGGTCAAGGCTGCAGTGATTCATGTTTGTGCCACTGTACTCCAGCCTGGGTGACAGTCAGTCAGTCAATTGATCAATATTATAATAAAGTAAGTTGCTTCAGATAATAGCTGAGTTGCAGAGTCAGGATTCAAACCCAGATAGTCCTGGCTTCAAGAGTCAGTGTTCTTTACTACTATCTTGTGCTACCTTTTATTATATTGGTGGATATCATCTATTCTGTGTAAATTTTCATGCATGTGTTCCTAGTTACACTGCAGATTTCTCTTAGTATCCTAAGTAAACTAACAACACTTTTTTTTTTTGAGACAGTGTCTCGGTCACTTGGGCTGGAATGCAGTCGTATGATCACAGCTCTCTGCAGCCTCGACCTCTTGGGCTCAGGTGATTTTCTCACTTCAGCCTCCTGAGTAGCTGGAATAACCCCACTGCACTCAGCAAAATTTTGTATTTTTTGTAGAGACAGGGTTTCACCATGTTGCCCAGGCTAGTTTGAATTCCTAGGCTCAAGCAATCTGCCCACCTAGGTCTCCCAAAATGCTGGAATTAGGCATGAGCTATAGCACCTGGCCTCAAGAATTTTTTTTTTTTTTTTTTCGAAACAGAGTTTTGCTCTTGTCACCCATGCTGGAGTGCAATGTTGCAATCTCTGCTCACCTCGGCCTCCGCCTCCCAGATTCGAGTGATTCTCCTGCCTCAGCCTCCCTAGTAGCTAGCATTACGGGCATGAGCCACCATGACCGTATTTTTAGTAGAGACAGGGTTTCTCCATGTTGGTCAGGCTGGTCTCAAACTCCTAACCTCAGGTGATCTGCCCGTCTTGGCCTCCCAAAGTGCTGGGATTACAGGTGTGTGTCGCTGTGACTGGCCAAAACATTTTTTGAGACCTAAAGATTTGACTACATAGACAATATCATTTTGTTATTTCTCAAAAGGATAATCTCATTTGGCCATAGAAATGAGATATAAGAGGTTATAGTTCCTAAGGACGAGATTCCCAACTTTTAATGGAAGTTTTCATGATCTGTTTTGCCTGGATATGTATTATATGTCTGTATAATAAAATGATTTGGGAAGCATTTTATTTTGTTTTCCAAAAATTTGTTTAGAGTTATTATTTTTTCCTTGGTAGAATTTGCCGTTTAAGTTATCTGGCTCAGGAGATTGCTTTGTCTGAAGGTTTTAGATACAAATTGAATTTCTTTAATATATGCCTATTCAGGTTATCTATTTCTTCTTAAGTAGTTGTGGTACTTTGTGTTTTTCAAGTAATTTGTATGTTTAATTTATTGAATTTGTGAGCATAAAGTTATTCATAATATTCCCTTATTCTTTGTGTGTGTGTGTGTGTGTGTGTGTGTGACGGAGTCTCACTCTGTAGCCCAGGCTGGAGTGCAGTGGTGTGATCTCAGCTCAATACACCTCCGCCTCCCAGGTCCTGGTTCAAGCAATTCTCCTGCCTCAGCCTCCCAAGTACCTAGGATTACAGGCATGCGCCACCATGTCCAGCTAATTTTTGTATTTTTAGTAGAGACAGGGTTTTACCGTGTTGGCCAGGCTGGTCTTGAACTCCTGACCTTGTGATCCACCTGCCTCAGCCTCCCAAAGTTCTGGGATTACAGGCATGAGCCACCTCGCCTGGCCTCTCTTATTCTTTTAATACCAGTACATTCTGTAGTACTGTCTCCTGTTTTAGTCCTGATAATTGGTAATTTCTGTGTGGGGCGGGGTGGGGGTGGGGTTTATTTGGTTGATCAGTCTGGCTAGGGGCTTATCAGTTTTCTTGATGGTTTCAGAGAACCAGCTTCTGGTTTTATTGATCACCCATACACCTGCAGTTTTCCCATTTTTCAATTTGATTGATTTCTGCTTTTATCTCCATTCTCTTCTGCTTGTTTTTAGGTCAGCCATTTTCCTTAAATATCTGCTCCTTGAATTGTTGCAAGCCTCTGGTTCTTTTCTGGAATTCTGAAAATGTTGATGCTTACAATTTTTGGCAGTTTTCCTATTGCTTTTATGGAAGAGAGAACTTTTCAGGTTTTTAACTTTTTTCTGGATTTCTTCATATCTGAAATGTGGGTTACTACAAAGGACATTCACTGCAGCACGATTTATAACAGCAAAAGTGTGAGAAACAACCCAAATATTCAAAATAAGAAAGTAGTTTTTAAAATGGTTCATCTAGGTATACATTTGATGGAGTATAATGTAGATACTAACAGTCACACATGTAGAGGGAATATTTTATGATGTAAAAAATGTTTACAATGTGATACAGGTGAAAAAAGCAGAATGTTCAAAATACAGTCTGTTGAAATTTAAAAAAACAAGTTTTGTGAGGAAATCAGCAGTGCCCGTATTTATTATTTCTGGGTGATAGAATGACAGTTAAATTATGTGAGTAAAAAGAAAAATACCTTTGTTCCATATTCTGTACCCTAAAATTAGATTGTGTTGTTATAAAAATAAAATATAGAGTACTGTTTTTCACTCATGTGAGTTAAGTTAAAATTATGTTTATGTATATTCGTGTATGTGAGTGAGTATGTGAGTTTTGGTGACTTAAAATCGCCTTTTATAAATACTTGAAGGGATGCTAGAAGAACATACTAATGACCCTGGCTCTGGGGATAACAGTATGCCTGGGCTACTTTAATCTGAAGAGTCTGCTCTGTGAAAGGAGCTTTGTTTCTCTAGGGTGCAATAGGGTGAATTATTAGGTAGATGAATAACTTGTAGTCTCATTTATTAACATTTCATTTTTTTTTCTTTTCAGGCGCATATTAAATTTCCTATTGACTACCCCTATTCACCACCTACCTTCAGATTCTTGACCAAAATGTGGCACCCCAACATTTATGAGGTAAGAGACATCCATCATAAATTTCTCTGAAGATTTTTTTTTTTTCAAATCAGTACTTTAAAATAGCCTGTCTCAGCATACTTTGATAATTAGGCTGTTGTAGCCATAGGAGAATATTCATGGTTTTGCACTTCAATTAACAGTTTCTGGTTTAATTATTTAATATGGAGTCTAGTTTTATAATACCCTGTGTATAGTCTAGTTAAGGATTTGGGCTTTAGACTTCTGCTGCCCATTGCTAGGGTTATAATGCATGTGTGTTTAACATATGCATTTACAAAATTTACAAAATTTAGTAGATAATATCATATAAATTTATTTGTGTGCTTATCCTCTAACTTCACAGCAAGGGTCACCTGTTGCTATGATGAGAGATTCAGCTTATGGTGGGAGGAGTGGGATTTATTCCATTACATTTGGACTGGACTCCTTTTAGGAGTTGCTGCTGAACATCTGAGAGCCTCTTTTGGAATAAATCCAAGGTGAGGTTCTTCTACTGGACAAGTGCACATGCCTGGGGGAAGCATTTCTAGTTTTGTTGATGAAACATACTTAGTTTAGGGCTAATCCATAAAGATACTAGAATAATGCATTACGTTTCTCAGGATGATATATTATATCAGGGTCCACTAGTTTTTTTTTTTAAGGCCAGTCCTTACTATTCTATAAGTGTGTTTTTAAATCTCCAAGTGTTTTGGAATTTTGCAGGTATTGTTCTGTTAGGAACTTCCAGTTAAATTCCATTGTGATTTGAAAGCAGACATTGTATAATTTCTATTTTTAAAAATTTATCAATATGTGCCTTATGGCCCAGAATATGGTATATCTTCATGAAAGTTTCATGTGAGCTGAAGAACGGGTGTAGTTGTCTATAATGTTCATTATATGCACTTAAAGAATGGTGTTGCTGCCAGGCACAGTGGCACGTGCCTGTAGTCCCAGCTACTCGGGAGGCTGAGGTGGGAGGATCGCTTTAGCAGGAGTTCTGGGCTGTAGAACCCTATTCCAGTCAGGTGTCTGCACTAAGTTTGGCATCAATATGGTGACTTCCTGGGAGCAGGGGACCACCAGGTTGCCTAAGGAGGGTTGAACTGACCCAGGCCAGAAACGGAGCAGGTCAAAACTCCCATGCCGATCAGTAGTGGGATCGTGCCTGTGAATAGCCACTGCACTCCAGCCTGGCAACAGAGAGAGATCCCATCTCTTAAAAAAAAAAAAAAAAAAAAAAAAAAGAATGGTGTTGCTGAGTTCATCTATGTCTTTTTTTTTTTTTTTTTTTTTGATATGGAGTTTCGCTCTTGTTACCTAGGCTGGAGTGCAATAGCCCAATCTTGTCTCACCACAACCTCTGCCTCCCGGGTTCAAGTGAGTCTTCTGCCTCAACCTCCTGAGTAGCTGGGATTACAGACCTGCACCACCATGCCTGGCTAATTCTGTGTTTTTAGTAAAGACGGGGTTTCTCCATGTTGGTCAGGCTGGTCTCGAACTCTCGACCTCAGGTGATCTGCCTGCCTCAGCCTCCTAAAGTGCTGGGATTACAGGGGTGAGTCACTGAGCCTGACCAGCTCTGTCTTTACTAATTTTCTGCCTGCCAGCTCTGTCCATTTCTGGATGGCTTGAGGTAGCTAGCTGGAGTTGGGTGTTACACTTCTTCAAAGTCACATAGGCTCTGATAAAAACTGGGCAGGTTTGGCTCTAGTTAAACAATTTCTTCTGAGGACAGACTCTGTTAAAGAGAACAGAACATTCTGACTTTTTTTTTTTTTTAAATTGAAATGGAGTCTCACTCTGTGACCCAGATTGTAGTGCAATGGCATGATCTCGGCTCACCGCAACCTCTGCCTCCTGGGTTCAAGCGATTCTCATGTCTCAGCCTCCTCAGTAGCTGGGAGGCTGGCTAATTTTTGTATTTTTAGTAGAGATGGGTTGGCCAGGCTGGTTTTGAACTCCTGACCTCAAGTGATCTGCCTTCCTTGGCCTCCTAAACTTCTGGGATTACAGGTGTGAGCCACCATGCCTGGCCCTGACTTATTTCAAAGTGGTTTCTTTTCCTCTCCTGCTGCCAAAACACAAGGAGTTGTTTTGCCTATGGTCACTGTGAAAACCTGGTAGAACTGTAGGAGGTAAAACTCAAAAAAATATGGGGGTGCCCACTAACTAAAGGGGCTGGTTTTTTACTCTGAGATTTTTCTATACTGGGCCTCTAGCAATTTGTTAATTACAATTCAGGTTTTTGGCTGGGTGTGGTGGCTCACGCCTGTAATTCCAACACTTCAGGAGGCTGAGGCAGGTGGATTACTTGAGGTTGGGAGTTCGAGACCAGCCTGACGAACATCGAGAAACTCTGTCTCTACTAAAAATACAGAATTAACTGGGCGTGGTGGCACATGCCTATAATCCCAGCTACTGAGGAGGCTGAGGCAGGAGAATCACTTGAACCCCGGAGGTAGAAGTTGTGGTGAGCTGAGATTGCACCATTGCACTCCAGCCTAGGCAATAAATGCAAAACTCCATCTCAAATATATATATTTTGTATTTTTTGTATTTTTTTGGGTAGCAGTTTGCCCTGTGACCTCACTTCTCTTATGGATATAAGAGGAGTTGTTGATTTCTCAGTTAAGCTTTTTACTTGTTAAGACAACAATTCTGGGCTGGGTGCAGTGGCTCATGCCTGTAATCCCAGCGCTTTGGGAGGTGGAGCAGGGAGGAATACTTGAGCCTAGGAGTTCAAAACCAGTCGGGGTAACATAGTGAGGCCCTGCCTCAGGGGGAAGAAAAAAAAAAGGCCTGGCACAGTGGCCCATGGCTATAATCCTAGCACTTTAGGAGGCTGAGGTGAGTGGATCACCTGAGTTCAGGAGTTTGAGAACAGCCTGGCCTATATGGTGAAACCTCATCTCTACTAAAAATATGGAATTAGCCAGGTATGGTGGTGCATTCCTGTAATCCCAGCTATTTGGGAGACTGAGGCAGGAGAATTACTTGAACCAGGGAGCTGGGATGGTGCCATTGCACTACTTCATCTCAGAAAAAAGATAACCATTCTGTAATCGTTTTCATTGCAATGTGGTTTTGTAGCGATCCCATTTTCTTTTCTTTTCTTTTCTTTTTTTTTTTGAGGCGGAGTTTCGCTCTTGTTACCCAGGCTGGAGTGCAATGGCGTGATCTCGGCTCACCGCAACCTCCACCTCCTGGGTTCAGGCAATTCTCCTGCTTCAGCTTCCTGAGTAGCTGGGATTACAGGCACGCGCCACCAAGCCCAGCTAATTTTTTGTATTTTTAGTAGAGACAGGGTTTCACCATGTTGACCAGGATGGTCTCAATCTCTTGACCTCGTGATCCACCCGCCTTGGCCTCCCAAAGTGCTGGGATCACAGGCTTGAGCTACTGCGCCCGGCTATTCCATTTTCTTATAGCAGCATCCCAAGCATTGAAATTGCTTTAGATTCTTGCCATCTTAGTCATGCATCAGTTCTCTCTCTCTTTTGTTTGTTTGTTTTTTTTTTTTTTGGCCCTAAGGATGTTGGGAGTACCTTTTCTCCAGAAACTGAGCTAACAGCACCTTTAAATTGTTTATTTATTTATTTATTTATTTATTATTTTGAGACGAAGACTCACTCTGCTTCCCAGGCTGGAGTGCAGTGGTGTGATCTTGGCTAACTGAAATCTCCACCTCCTGAGTTGAAGCAATTCTCCTTGTCTCAGCTTCCTGGGTAGCTGGGACTGCAAGTGTGTACCACCATACCCAGCTAATTTTTGTATTTTTAGTAAAAGAGACAGGGTTTCACCATGTTGGTCCAGCTGGTCTCAAACTCCTGACGTCAAGTGATCCATCTGCCTTGGCCTCCTAAAGTGCTGGGATTACTGTGAGCCACCACACCTGGCCACCTTTAAATTGCTTTTAGGCAAGAAATGGAGAACCCACTCTCGGGTCTTGAATTTGGAGTTCATTCAGTATAAATGAGCATACTGGGGCAGCTGTGTCGTTTTCCACAATCTGTTTTTTTTATATAAGACGTCTTAATTTTTCCTTTTCAAATAGGACAGACTGGTCCTTAAATCATATGTAGTTTTCTTTTTAGAAATAAGCTTTCTAAATGTTGTTTAATAATTGACATAGTTATAAACAACACAGTGAATATACTGTTCTGTGTAACAACGTTATCATCCTTTTGTAGGAAAGAGTCTATAGAAATAATTCATTGTTCCCTAAGTTCAAACTGAGTTCAGTACTCACAGAAGTATTTTGGTATCTGTCTTAGTAAATTTGGGTTGCTATCGCAAAATAACTTAGACTGAGTAATATATAAACAACAGAAATTTATTGCTCATAGTTCTGGAGGCTAGGAATTCCAAGATCAAGCCACCAGCAGGTTTGGTCTGTTGAGGGCCTGATTTTCAAAGATGGCGCCTGTTTTGTTGCATCCTTGTGGGAAAAGGGGCAAGGGAGTTCTCTTTTGCCTCTTTTATAAGGGTGTTAATCACATTCATGGGTGATACCAAAATTCAGACCATAGCAATGTCCTAGTCTAATAATTAAAGGTTTTTTGCCTTTACAGTTATTTGGTATATATAGATTTTAGATAGCAAGAGAGAAGCGAGAAGGACTAAGCTTTTGTCTTGCCATTGAGAGCTAATTACTCTTAAAGCCATATACATACTGTTTTCATCTCAGTTACCTAATTCTCAAACGCCTCTCAAAAAAGAAACAAAGAATAGGGTAAAGGAGTCAAAGCTCTGCAGGAATAAAGTGTAGGTAGGTAATTAAACTCCAGTTTCCACTTTTTTTTTTCTGTACGTAAGCTATTAAGTTCTTTCAATATTTAGCATTAGATCATGATTTATAAATTGTTTCCATATTCATAATTTTTCTGCATAAAGTGCATGCATGCCCCATAAATGTGAAGATATTTTCTACGCATAAGTGTTTTGGTTTTAAAGAAGTGATGGGGCCAGCGCGGTGGCTCATGCCAGTAATCTCAGCACTTTGGGAGGCCGAGGTGGGTGGATCACAAGGTTAAGAGATCGAGACCATCCTGGTCAACAAGGTGAAACTCCATCTCTACTAAAAATACAAAAATTAGCTGGGCATGGTGGTGCACGCCTGTAGGCCCAGCTACTTGGGAGGTTGAGGCAGGAGAATTGCTTGAACCCAGGAGGCGGAGGTTGCGGTGAGCCAAGATCGCGCCATTGCACTCCAGCCTGGGTAACAAGAGTGAAACTTCGTCTCAAAAAAAAAAAGAAGAAGAAGTGATAGGTCGAGCAAGACTCTGTCTTGGGAGCGGGGAAGAAGTGATAAATCATAGTTAGGAATTAAATTTGATGTTGTCAAAGGAGTCATAAGAAACTCTTCTCATGTGATTGTTAACCTTCACTGCAGTATGGAAATGTTATCAATTGAAACTTTTGAGGGCCAGTGTTGGTATTTGTCATTCCAGAGTTCTAGAGAGCACACCTGGCTGAAAATAGTTCATGTCATGTTTTTAAAAAGACAGGTAGACAGGTGTGGTCAGGTGCTGTGGCTCACCCTGTAATCCTAGCACTTCGGGAGGCCGAGGTGGGCAGGTCACTTGAGGCCAGGAGTTCAAGACCAGCCTGGCCAACACAGTGAAACCTCACCTCTACTAAAAATAGAAAAAATTAGCTGGGCATGGTGATGTATCCCTGTAATCCCAGCTACCCAAGAGAGGCATGAGGCATGAAGAATTGCTTGAACCCCTGAGGCAGAGGTTACATTGAGCCAAGATGGCACCACTGCACTCCAGCCTGGGCAACAGAGTGAGACTCTGTCTCAAAAATAAATAAATAAAAATAAAAAGATAAGCACTTTGGTCACACTTTATTAAATATATGCATAGACATGTTACTGCAGCACCCAAAAAGTTGTAAATAACTGCTGTGTTACATGAGTGAATTTATTTTTTATTTATTTATTTTTGAGACGGAGTTTTGCTCTTGTTACCCAGGCTGGAGTGCAATGGCGCGATCTCGGCTCACCACAACCTCTGCCTCCTGGGTTCAGGCAATTCTCCTGCCTCAGCCTCCTGAGTAGCTGGGATTACAGGCACATGCCACCGTGCCCAGCTAATTTTTTGTATTTTTTTAGTAGAGACGGGGTTTCACTATGTTGACCAGAATGGTCTCGATCTCTTGACCTCGTGATCCACCCGCCTTGGCCTCCCAAAGTGCTGGGATTACAGGCTTGAGCCACCGCGCCTGGCCTTGTGAATTTATTTTAAAATTGTCTTCTCCTTTGAGTTAAAGCTACAAAAAAAAAAAAAAAAAATTTTTTTAAAGCCAGTCAAATTTAGCAGTGGGGGATTATATACCAACTTTGATGATGCTAATGTTAATAAGTTCTGATAACCCACTACCATCAGACCAGCAGTTTTTTATTTTTATTTTTATGGTTGTGTTGTTGTTGTTGGCTGGGCACAATGGCTTATTCCTATAATCCCAACACTTTGGGAGGCCAAGGCAAGTTAGCCAGGCATAGTGGCACATGCCTGTAGTCCCAGCTACTTGGGAGGGTAAGGTGAAAGAGTCACTTGAGCTTAGAAGGTTGAGGCTGCAGTGAGTTGTGTGTGTGTGTGTGTGTGTGTGTGTGTGTGTGTTTTCATCATTACCCTGTTTGTGAAATTATTAATATCAAAACTAGGAAAACTAAGGAAATATGATCGGAATTTATCATCAGTGGTTGTACTACACAGTCTGTTTCCTTTCTGCTTTGCACTGTGTTTAATGAGCCTTAAAATATACGTTGCTGGTTACATTCTGTTCATATCGTTAAAAAGTAAACAACTAATGAACACCATATTTTTCACAAACTGTATTACAATGAGGAGTTCATATAACACTTTCTTTACTACAGACTTCACAGATAGGGCAACACATAGAATTTCACTGTACATTAGTAAACATTTTTATAATATTAATTATTAGAGCAGTTTTGGGTTCATCACAAAATTGAGGGGGAAGTTCAGAGAAATATTTGATCATTTTATTAATAGTTACACAGTATGGAACTTTTCTGAAAAGGTAATAAAGATTTTGGAATTTTTTTTGAAGTAATACACATCATTTTTTCTGTACAGAGTGTAATGTCATCAGTGCAGTTATGACATAACTGTCTTATAACAGTAAGATAGTATATTTTAGGCTACTTGGTAGCCCATGTAAAAATGTTTTACTCTTTCACTTTAGCTTCTAGTTCTGGATAGTTATTCTTTATACTTTACTCAGTTAATTCTCAAAACATCCTTATTTCTGTAGCCACCAGCATTTTAAAGATATACTTATTTGACTACTATCCCATTAGTATTAGGGCATGGTATTTTTCTTTCCTTCTTTTTTTCTTTTCTTTTTTTTTTAAATTTGGTGGTGGTTTCCAGTAACATGGAGGTATTTTTATTTTTATTTATTTATTTTTGAGACATTGTCTCGCTCTGTCACCCAGGCTTGGATGCAATGGTGTGATCTCAGCTCGCTGCAACCTCCTGCCTCTTGAGTTCAATTGATTCTCCTTCCTCAGCATTCCAAGTACCTGGAATTACAGGCACCTGCCACAACGCCCAGCTAGTTTCTGTATTTTTAGTAGAGACCGTTTCACCATGTTGGCCAGGGTGGTCTTGACTGGCCTCAAGTGATCCACCAGTCGTCATCTTCTCCTTTTTCCGCCCCCCGCCGCCCCCCCATTCATGTTCTCTCATGAGGTTGCTTTTTTTTTTATTATTTTGAGACAAAGTCTTACTCTGTTGCCCAGGCTGGAGTTCAGTGGTGCCATCTCAGCTCACTGCAACCTCTGCCTCCTGGGTTCAAGCAGTTCTCCTGCTTCAGCCTCGTACCAGGATCTACCTGTAGCTGGGTCTACAGGTACGTGCCACTATGCCCAGCTAATTTTTGTATTTTTAGTAGAGATGGGGTTTCACTATGTTGGCCAGGCTGGTCTCAAACTCCTGACCTCGTGATCCACCTGCCTTGGCCTCCCAAAGTGCTGGATTACAGGCGTGAGCCACCACGCCCGGCCTATGGGGCATGGCATTTTTAAATGTTACTGTTTTAATGATTTTAAATAGACCCTACTGTTTTGATATGTTTTTATTTAGCTTGGGCTGCCAGAACAAAATATCAGACTGGGTGGTTTAAACAAAAATTTACTTTTTCACAGTTTTAGAGGCTGTAAGTCCAAAATTAAAGGGTCAGCATGGCCTGTTTCTGATGAAGAGCTTACTTCATGGCTTGTAGACTGCCTTCTTGCTGTTACTCTGGTGTCTCTTATTATAGGGATATTAATCCAGTCAGACCAGGGCCCTGCCCTCATCTCATTTAACCCTAATTAGCCCCTAAGACCTTTTCTCCCAATATCATCAATATTGGGGGTTTGGGCTTCAATATATGAATTTGGGGAAATTTAAATAATAGTTGCAAAAATAGTGCAGAAAAGTTGACACATACCATTTTTATTGTTGTTACACATACTTTAAAAAAATTTTTTATATTTAAAAAATTTTTTTGAAGCATGAGCCACCATGCCCAGCTTACCACATACCTTTTACTCAGCTTCCTCTAATATTAAAATCTTCTATAATCTTGGTACATTTATTAAAAGTAAAAAATTTGGTTCAGTATTATTAACTGAACTATAGACTTCATTTGGTTTAATGTGTGGAAAAGGAAACTTAATTAAAACATTTAAGGAAATGTTAATTAAAGGAAACTTAATTAAAATATTTAGGCACACCTCAGTGGCTCACACCTGTAATCCCAGCACTTTGGAAGGCTGAGGTGGGCAGATCACTTGAGGTCAGGAGTTCAAGACCAGAGTGGCCAACATGGCGAGGTCCCGTCTCTACTAAATATATAAAAGTTAGCTGGGCATGGTGGTGAGCATCTGTATTTTTGGCTTGATCCCGGGAGGCAGAGGCTACAGTGGGCTGAGATTGCACCACTGTACTCCAGCCTGGGTGACAGAGTGAGCCTCTGTTTAAAACAAACAAACATATATTTGTTGTCCATTGCTTCCTGTAAGTGCACCAAACCCTACTTTGGGTTTTTAAGTCACCAGAAACAACATGCTTGAATTGTGTGATCTTAACTTACATAAAGATGCTGAGTACTGTGTTAAGACTTTGTTAGCTGTTGTATGAAAGGAAAGAAGGTTAAAATTCCTCTTGACAAAGTTGGAAGAGGCCCTTGGACCCAAGAACATGCATAGTTAAGGTATTGCCACCTACTTTGTGACATCTAACCATGGTTGAATTATTTTCTAAAATTAAAGGGAAAAAATTTTCATTATGTTACCAGTATTTGCAGTGTTCAATTTTTTTCATTTTATTTTTCTTTCTTTTTTTTTAAAGATGGGGTTTCACCGTGATGGCCAGGCTGGTTTTGAACTCCTGACCTCAGGTGATCAACCCACCTGGGCCTCCCAGAGTGCTAGGATTACAGGTGTGTCACCATGCCCGGCCACGGTGTTCAATTTTTTAAATGTGTTTTTGGTAGACATTTATGTTCTTAGTTACAGATGTAAAATTGACATGATTTTACTAAATGATCTTTAAGAAAATACCTGTATAGGCCGGGGGTGGTGGCTGAAGCCTGTACTTTGGGAGGCCGAGGTGGGTGGATCACGAGGTCAACAGATCAAGACCATCCTGGTCAACATGGTGAAACCCCGTCTCTACTAAAAATACAAAAAAATCAGCTGGGCTTGGTGGCATGTGCCTGTAATCCCAGCTACTCAGCAGGCTGAGGCAGGAGAATTGCCTGAACCCAGGAGGTGGAGGTTGTGGTGAACCGAGATCACGCCATTGCACTCCAGCCTGGGTAACAAGAGTGAAACTCCGTCTCAAAAAAAAAAGAAAAAAAAAGAAAATGCCTGTATAAAATATTTGTCTTTGAATTCATTTAAAGCATTCTTCAGTTGAATATAAATGCTTTCTTATTACCTGTTCAGAAATATATAATATTTTGCTTTAGCTACTAGGATAAGTTGACACAAATAACTTCTCATTGGTACCTGGCAAAATACATTTGTTTTCTTGTTGTTGTTGTTTTTTTTAATTAAAAGAAGTAATCAATAATTGACTTGTAAAACATTCCTTATTTCTGGAATGTTGGGAAAAAGTTTGTGAAAAATACTCTTGTAGACCTCCTGAAGTCTCTCTTTGTTTCATCTTGGTTTATATGACCCAGATAAATAAGGTAGGAAATCAATGGAAACCTGAAGATTCTTACTCTGATTTGATACTGAAATTTTACCTAGCAAATGTGATTTCACAATATACATTATTAAAGGTTAAAATGCTTTTTTATTTAAAAAATGTAATGGGATATACATATATCATAGGTTTACCTATATGATACATTAGCCATCATTTAGAACATGTTAGTATTTAGGCCACTGTACTTTTCAGAATGAGCTCTGGTTTATAAATAATAAACGTATTTTATGTGTATTTATATAATTCTTGGATTTGCAGATCTTATGCATTTTCTGTTAACATTTTAAGGTATAAGGAAAATGTTTCCTAAGTATTGATATGCCCAAATTTGGCCATATATCAGAATCATGTGGAGAAGTTATTAAAAAGAATCCTGGAAATTTTTATTTAATTGGATTTGGATGGGGTATAGGCTAGATAATTTTTGATTTTAGCTTTTAGAATCACCATTCTAGAGTCCAAGGACTTCCCCATTTTTTTAAAAAAAGAATTTGTTAAGATGAAATTCACATATATAGAAGTAACCATTTAAGGTAAACAATTTTCAGGGAGATCCCTTGAGCCCAAGAGATCGATGTTACAGTGAGCTATAATCATGCTACTGCACTGAGCTGGATGACAGAGCAAGATTGTGTCATTCATTCATAAATAAATAAGTAAATAAACGATTCAGTAGTATTTAGTACATTCATAATATTGTACAACTACTATTAGTACCTGTATGTAGTAGTGAAGCATTTCCATCACTCCAACCTAAAATTCATTACATATTAAGTAATTTCTCTCCATTCCCATATTCCCTCAATCTCTGGCAACCACTAGTCTACTTTCTGTCTCTATAGATTTACATGTTCTGGATATTTAATATAAATAGAGTCATACAATATGTTACCTCTTGTGTCTGGCTTGTTTGACTCAATGCAATATTTTAGAGATTCATCCACCTTGTAGTATGTAGCAGTACTTCATTCCTCTTCATGGCTGAAGAATATTGCATTGGATAGATATACCACAATTTGTTTCTATATTCATCTTTTGATGGACACATTTGGATTATTTCTCCCTTTTGCATATGTGAATAGTGCTGCTGTGAACATGTATGTGCATGTACTTTTTGACTACCTGTTTTCAGTTCTTTGGGTTATATACCTAGGAGAGTGGAATTGTGGGGTTAAATGGGAATTCTGTGTTTAACATTGATTGATTGATTGATTGATTGATTGGACAGAGTCTCGCTGTCACCCAGGCTGGAGGGCGATGGCGCGATCTCGGTTCACTGCAGCCTCCCTCTCCCGGGTTCAAGCAATTCTCTGCCTCAGCCTCCAGAGTAGGTGGGACTACAGGCACCTGCCACCATGCCTGGCTAATTTTTGTATTTTTAGTAGAGATGGGGTTTCACCATCTTGGCCAGGCTGGTCTTGAACTCCTGACCTCATGATCCACCCGCCTTAGCCTCCCAAAGTGCTGGGATTACAGGCCTGAGCCACTGCACTCAACTGACTTTTTCTTTCTTTTTTCTTGTCTTTTAAATCCACTTTTCTTTTTTTTTTTTTCCTGGGACTTGATAAACCCATTTTTCTATTAGTGCTGGGATTATAAGTGTGTGAGCCACTGTTCCCAGCCATTTTTTAATTGGACTGCCACACTTTTTTCCCGTAGCAGCTGAACCGTTTACATTCCCACCAGCAGTGTGTGAGTGTTCCAGTTTCTTTACATCCTTACCAACACTCATTATTTTCCTTTAAAAAAAAAAAAAAAAAAAAGACTAGGCCTGCTGGCTCACATTTGTTATTTCAGAACTTTGGGAGGCTGAGGCAGGAGTATTGCTTGAGGCTAAGAGTTTAAGACCAGCTTGGGCAACTTAGCAAGATCTCCATCTGTATATTAAAACATAAAATAAAATATAGCTATCCTAAGTGGGTACAAAGTGATAGCTTATCGTGGTTTTGCTTTACATTACCCACTTATTTGAGCATCTTTTCATGTGCTTATTGACTATTTGTATATCTTCTTTGGAGAAATGTCGGTCCTAGCTCATGCATTTTTCATTTAATTTTGGGGCATAGGGTCTTGCTCTGTTGTCCAGGCTGGAGTGGCATGATCACAGCTCACTGCAGCCTCAAGCTCCTGGGCCCAAGCAATCCTCCCACATCAGCCTCCCAAGTGGCTGGGACTACAGGTGTGTACCACCACACCTGACTAATTAATAAACTTTTTTGGTAGGGCAGGCATGGTGGCTCACACCTGTAATCTCAGCAGTTTGTGAGGCCAATGGCGGAAGGAACGCTTGAGCTCACAGTCAAGACAAGCCTGGGTAACAGTGTAACTCCATCTCTATAAAAAAATTAAAAAGTGTTCCAGGTGTGGTGGCTCTCATCTGTGGTCCCAGCTACTTGGGAGGCTAAGGTAGAAGGATCACTTGAGCCCAGGAGGTAGAGGTTGCAGTGAGCTGAGATTGCACCACTGCACTCCAGCCTGAGAGACAAAGTGAGACCTTGTCTCTTTATGTCATCCAGGTTGGTCTTGAATTCCTGGCCTCAAGCAGTCCTCCCCACTCAGCCTCCCACAGTGGTGGAATTACAGGCGCGAGCCACTGCACCTGGACTTCCCTATTATTGAAATGGATATCTTTTTGTTACTGAGTTTTAGCAAATTTTTGTATATTTTATACATATTTAACCCTTATCAGATATATGATTTGCAAATGTTTTCTCCCATTCTGTAGGTTGCCTTTTCACTTTCTTGATAATGTCCTTTAGATGGCACAAAAGTTTTCCATTTTAATGAAGTGTGGTTATTTCCAAGTCTTTGATCTATTTTCAGTTAATTTTTGTGTATGACATGTGTTAGGAGTCCAACTGTATTTTTTTGTTTGTAGAAATCCAGTTGTCCCACTACTGTTTATTGAGGAGACTATTTTTTCCCCATTGAATGGTCTTGGCATCCTTGTCAAAATCAATTGGCCATTGATGTGTGGGATTATTTCTGGACTCTCAATTCTCAATTATGTACCATTGGTTTATATTTCTGTCATTATGCCAGTACTCAACAACATGGTTGTCTTTGTAGTAATTTTTTTTTTCATTTTGTACTTTGCTGTTTTAATCACTTGATATCTTAGGTGTACATCTTCCTTTATGATAACAAATACCAGACTAATTCAGCTTTAGTCATATAATACTGTAACACTCAAATGGGTTTCAAAATATAAGCATCTCTGCTCTTGCATAGTTTTTTGAGGGAGGATTATCCTTCAATATATAACAGATGCAAGTATGTGCAACTGGTTGGTAGGAGGGAACTATTTTTATTACAAAAAGGTATGGGTCCTCTTTCAAAAAGGAATAAATCACATTTATTAAATAATTCCCTTTAAAACTTTAGAGCATAGGCCACATTTCACAGAAATTTTGAAAAGACTTAAACTATATCTCCTCTTTTTAACAGCTAGATATTAAAAGTCACCCAATTTAATAGCCTTTAAGGCAATAATATGGAATCGAGTCTCAAATCAGATGCAATATTCTGCTGCAGATTACTGGTTGTCTAACTGCATCATTTCACTGGTTGGAAAGTCCATAAAAAAGAATTTAAGCTGACTCAAATATTTGGGAGGAAAAAATAGGTGACAGACTAAAACATGTCAAACAGGCTTCCTAAGAAATTTTGTCTCATTGCATAAGTTAAGCATGAGAATTTCCACCTCCGTAAAGCTGTCATGCAAAAACAGCCTAACACTTAAATGTTGTAATTTTTATCATTTAATAAATAAAAGGAAATAAAAGTTGAACTCTGTGGTTTCTTAAATCACAGCTTCCAGATTACCTAAAACTAAAATCACTACCCAAAAATCAAAAAACTAGAATTTTAAAATTTTATTATATAGGTTTTCTCAATAACTTCCCAATACAAACTGAAAAACACTGATAATTCCCAAAAACTACAGATACATAGTTGGGTCTAGAAGTTCGAAGGCAGAGAACTATTAACTTGAAAGAGTTTAATTATGAATTGGTACTGTATTTCTGAAAACATTGGTGATACTGAAATAACACACCAATAGACAGGACCAATATGATCCTGGCAAAATGCTCCTCTCACTGGTCAAGCAGCAATATTTCCTTTTACAGATGTTCTGAAGAACAATGCTTAAAATTATACCAGGGTTTAAAATATAATTTTAATAAAGTATATATAAAGTGTACATGAAAAGGGGAAATATGAAATCAGGCAAAAGTCTTTTGACTCTTGGTATCCTTATAATCCCCCAATTATCAGGGGATGAAATATTTTTCTAGAAAAAATAAAATTATTTTATTTCCTATGGTGCTTTATGTATCAGAGTCACTTGCAGATTCTGGTCTGCTGTCATCTGGCCCATCACTTTCCTTGTCCCAGTCTTTCATAGATGCTCCCATCATGAAATCATCATGTAGGATTGTCCAACCTAGGCCCTCTTCTGATTTCACTTCAGTCTGTTTGGCTTTTGGTTTCTTCTTGCTTGAGGTAGTCTCATTTGTATTTTCATCCATTCCTCTCAAAACACTGATAAAATCTTTCTTGGAAACAGTTGATATCAACTTAGTTCGTTTTCTAATAAAGCTTCCAGATTCTTTAACCTTCTCATCAACGTTCTTTTGATGTTTCTGAACAGCATTAAATAATTGCACCACACTCCTCGTTGCAATTCTCTGAAGATCTCTGTCTCCTTGTCTTGGACAACATCTGGCTTTACTCTGCACATCATTTCCCACTCCATCCTCTTATCACGCTGTTTTATTTTCTCTTGTCTTTCTTGCTTTAACTTTTCTTTTTCCTTTTCCAGCTTCTTATTTTTTTTACCAGAATAGTAGGTTTACTTTCAGGAGTTTGCTTGTTGAGGACTTTAGCCATGGCATCTACCCAGCCTGTATTGGTCCGAATATTTGATTCTGCGTCATCTTCATTTTCTTCGTCACAGGGCTCAGCATCACCCTTATTGTCGGCTTCTACTGCTTCCTCATCAGAATAAAAGTAGTCATATTCTGATCCACAGCTTCCTATTATAGATCCTCCTACTATAGAACCTTCACTATTGGAAGTGTCTGTGCCCTCCTCTTCCAGCACCGACGCTACGGCTCCGGTTGCCATTTTCATCATCTTCTTTGGGGTCTTTCTCAGATTTTCCTCTGCACTCACACGTGAGTCCGGAACAACGGCTGCCATTTTTCCGCACCGGAAGTGTTTCTGTAGTAATTTTTAAAATTGGGAAGTGTGAATCCTCCAATATTTTCTTCTTCCCAATTGTTTTGGCAGTTGGGTCCCTTAAATTGACATATATATTGTAGGATTACCTTGTCAATTTCTGCAGCAAAAAGGGAAGGTAGGATTTGATAAGGATTGTGTTGAATCTGTACATCAAATTGGGGAATAGAACCATCTTAACATCATAACTACATTTTTTCAGGTTTTTAAAAATGTATTTGAGCACTGTTTTGTAGTTTTCAGTGTACAAGTCTTTTCCCTTCCATGACTAGATTTATTCTCTATTTTTTCGAGACAGAAACTCATTCTGTTGCCTAGGCTGGAGTTCAGTGGTGTATTCTCAGCTCACTGCAACCTCTGCCTCCCAGGTTCAGGCGATTCTCCTGCCTCAGCTTCCTGAGGAGCTGGGATTACAGGCATGTGCCACCATGTCCAGCGAATTTTTTGTATTTTTGTAGAGATGGAATTTTACCATGTTGTCCAGCCCTGGTCTCGCAAAATGCTAGGATTACAGGTGTGAGCCACTCTGCCTGGCCAGATTTATTCTTTTAAATGACAATTATCAATGGAATTTTTTATAATATCCTTTTAGATTATAGGTTATTTTTGCTAGTTTATAAAAATAAAAGTGACCTGCAGCTTTCCTGAATTTATTAGCTCTTGTAGCTTTCTTATAGAGGCTCATGTCATCTGTGAATAAAGATGGTTTTCTCCCCTTCAACTCAGTTTCCTTTTTTTTCTTCTTATTACTCTGGTTAGAAATTTCCACTACAGTATTTTTTTTTACTTTTTTAAAATTACATTAAAAAACTTTTTAAATCTTTTTTTTTTTGAGACGGAGTTTCGCTCTTGTTACCCAGGCTGGAGTGCAGTGGCGCGATCTCGGCTCACCACAACCTCTGCCTCCTGGGTTCAAGCAATTCTGCCTCAGCCTCCTGAGGAGCTGGGATTACAAGTGTGTGCCACCATGCCCAGCTAATTTTTGTATTTTTAGTAGAGAGGAGGTTTCACCATGTTGGTCAGGCTGGTCTCAAACTCCTGACCTTGTGATCCGCCTACCTTGGACTCCCAAAGTGCTGGGATTACAGGTATAAGCCACTGTGCCTGGCCTCCACTACGGTATTAAATAGCAATGGTGAAAGCAGGCATCCTTGTCAAGCTCCTGATCTTAGGAGTAAAGCTTTTAGTCTTTCACTGTTGAGTATGATGCTAGCTGTGGGTTTTTCATAAATCCCCTTTATCATATTAAGATAATTCCCATCTATTCATCACTTTTCGATTGTTTTTATTATGAAAGAGTGCTAGATTTTGTCATATGCATCGTCTGTATCCATTTGGATGCCCGTCTTCTAATATGTCATTTTAAAATGCAAATTTATTTATTTCATACCACTAAGAAGGAGTTTTTTTTTTTATGTCTATTAAGCTCTGAACCAAGTAGCATACTTTTGTGGCCTAATTTTTAGGCTCTATTATTCATCAAAACTAGGCTGTTCACTACTGAGGTAGGTAGGATAATGGTTCCCCCAGAATATTCACGTGCTATTCCCTGTAACCTGTGAATGTTAAGATTATATGTCAAGGAGAAGTTAAGTCGTTAATCAGCTGACCTTAAAATAGGGAGATTATTCTGGATTATCCAGGGGATCCCAATGTAATCACAAGAGTCCTTAGTAGTGGAAGAGGGAGGCATAAAATGAGTTAGAAGATATGTGACTTCGGAAGAAAGGCCCAGGTAAATGAAACATTGGCATTGCTTTGAAAATAGAATAGGGAAGTCCAAGGGCAAAGATTGGCCTTTAGTAGCTAGAAAGGGCAAGGAAAGGGATTTTTCCTTAGAGCCTCTAGAAGGGAATGCAGTGCTACAAACAACACATTGATTTTAGTCCTGTAAGAGAAATGATAGACTTTGACCTACAGAAATGTAAAATTATAAATTTGTGGTGTTTACACCACGTTTATGGTATTTTATTACAGTAGCAAAAGAAAACAAATACAAGTACCCAAGCATATTTTATTCTACTATTTATAGTGTTGGTTTATTTCTCCAGAAAAACTCAAATCTGAAATTCCCATAGGTTGTTTAAATTTTTATTGTTAAATGAAGGCCCATCTTAAAGCTTCCTCAACCACAAAGCCTTATCTTCCATCCCACCTCCCATGCATTCGTTCACTGCCCAAATATACCAAGTTTCTCTCTTCGCTCTCTCTTTTTTTTTTTTTGAGCTGGAGTTTCACTCTTGTTGCTCAGGCTGGAGTGCAATGACTGGCTCACTGCAGCCTCCGCCTCCCAAGTTCAAGTGATTCTCCTACCTCAGCCAGCTGAATTGCTGGGATTACAGGCATTCGTCATCATGCCTGGCTAAGTATTTTTAGTAGCGATGAGATATCTCCATGTTGGTCAGGCTGGTCTCGGACTCCAGACCTCAGATGATACACCTACGTTGGCCTCCCAGAGTGCTGGGATTACAGGTGCAAGCCACCTCACTCTCCCTTCCCCTCCCCTCCCTTCTTTTTTAAGGTCAGAGTTTCATTTTGCCACCCAGGCTGGAGTGCAGTGGCTCAGTCTCTGCTCACTGCAACCTCTGCCTCCTGGGTTCAAACGGTTCTCTGCCACAGCCTCCCAAGTAGCTGGGATTACAGGTGCTTGCCACCACACCTGGTTAATTTTTCTATTTTTAATAGAGATGGGGTTTCACCATATTGGTCAGGATGGTCTTGAACTCCTGACCTTGTCATCCACCTGCCTTGGCCTCCTAAAGAGCTGGGATTACAGGTGTGAGCCACTGCACCTTTTTCTGTAGTACCTTTTTATATGCCTTACAGTATCTAACCATAATACAGTGTTTTAGAATATAATAATTTGGTATTAATTTTACTTAAATTTTATTTTAAAAATGTTTTATATTGATAATGATTACACATATACATAATATAGTTTCTGTGTGTCTAAATTAGGGTTGCATATATAAGCCTTTTGTACTTCATGTAGTTATACCCCCAATTTCTTATAAATATATCTGAAAACAAAGGGATATATATTTGGCTGCTTTTAAGACAATTGAATCTTGATTTATCATGTTTGTCTTTTTTATTTTTTTTTGAGGTGGAGTCTCGTTCTGGTGCTTAGGCTGGAGCACAATCTTGGCTCACTGCAACCTCCGCCTCCTGGGTTCAAGCGATTCTTCTGCCTCAGCCTCCCAAGTAGCTGGGATTATAGGCACCTGTCACCACACCCGGCTAATTTTGTATTTTTAGTAGAGACAGGATTTCTCCATGTTGGCCAGGCTGGTCTTGAACTCCTGGCCAGGTGATCCATATACCTACCTTAGCCTCCCAAAGTTCTAGGATTACAAGCGTGAGCCACCACACCTGGCCCCAGCCAATTTTTTATGTCTGTCTGTTTATCAGCATTGTGCTATAGGGGAATAGTAAGTCTTCTCAATAGAAAATATACCTTGGAGATTGTTCAAAATAAATATTAAATTTTTAAAATCCTTAATTCTTTATCTTTGATTTTGAACATAAAGAAAAAGCAGAATATTTCCTCCTTTGATGAAAAACAGTTTCTTCTCATGAGATCTGATAGGTTAAGAAAAAGAAAAAAAAGTTTCTAGGAACAAAGGAAACTTTGAAACCAGTGTCCCTTTTTTTACATCACTTTTTGAGTATTTACTGAATGTAATGTTTGTGTCTCGTAGAATGGAGATGTATGCATTTCGATTCTTCATCCGCCTGTAGATGACCCACAGAGTGGAGAACTGCCTTCTGAAAGGTGGAATCCTACTCAGAATGTGAGGTAAGGTGTTACATAGGAGGAATCTGGTTCTGGACTTAATCTCCTTACTGTCTTTGCCCCTAGTAAAATAAAATTACGTTTTGTCTTTTAACATGTAAAAAAGTCATCTTTCTTATATTTAGTTGTTTTGTCTTCAGCTAGAGCTTTAAGAAATATGTATGCGTCATTTTGTAGAGCTTGTATTTACTAAGCAATAATATATAAGATTCTCATTTCCCTGTGTTCACTTAAGAATTGATTTTGAAGCCTGAATCCCTACTTTTACCTTATCCTAGTTCTACTCTGCTTTTTTATTAACATCTAACATTAGTATCATTCGTTGGTTACAGTTAATAAACATGTTTTGTGTGCTGTGTCACTAAAATTAAAAAATTTTAAAACTTTAAAAATATGTTAATTATTAACTGAAGTCCATATTGTTTTCACATTTCCTTAGTTTTTACCTGTCATTGTTTTGCTCCAAAATATTTTATATGTATAAATAGATATGTATATATGTATGTGTATACATTTTAAAATTTTTTGTAGAGATGAGGTCTCACTAAGTTGCCCAGCTGGTCTGAAATGCCTGCCCTCAAGCAGTTCTCCCCTTTTGGCCTCCCAGAGCGCTCGGATTACAGGCATGAGCCACTGTGCCCAGCTCATCACATCATCACATTATAATTTAATAGTCATGTCTCCACAGGCAACTCCTCTCTCTCTCTCTCTTTCTCTCTCTCTCTCTCTCTCTCTCTCTCTCTCCCTCTCCTCCCCACTCTGTCCTTCCCTCTCTCTCCTCTCTCTCTCTCAGTTTTTCAAACAGTGTCTTGCTCTATCACCCAGGCTGTTGTGCAGTGGTGCAATCGCAGATCACGGCAGCCTTGACCTCCTGGGCTCAAGTGAGCCTTATACCTCAGCCTCCCAAATAGCTATGACTGTAGTTATATGCCACCATGCCTAGCTATTAAGTAACTCTTAAGTGTAAATTTTCTTGGTTTTGATGACCTTGACAATTTTGGGGGGATACTGATCAGATATTTTGTACAGTGTTCCCCAGTTGAGATTTTTCTTATTTTTTTTTTTTTTTCATGATTAGTTCTAGGGTTATAGGTTTGGGGAAGAAATATCAGAGAAGTAATGTGCCATTTTTATTATGTCATATCAGTGTGGCTTATCCCTGTTGATGTTACTGGCTGAGATAATGTTTTGAGCTTTTCATTCTTTACTCCTTAGAAGGAAGTCATATGCATAGCCTACAACTAAGGAGAGGGGAGCTATACCTCCTTGAAACCAGGGTATCTATATAAATTATTTTTAATTCTTCTGCATGGATTGATATATTCTTCTCCCTTTATTTGTTTATTCAGTCATTTGTTAAACATTTTTACTGATACCAAAACTATTTGATTAGAATCTCTAGGTTTATCAAAAGCGAAGAATTGGAAGCTTCCTGACTTGTAAAAGAAGCTCTTCAAGATATATTGAATGACTATTGATTATGTTTTTTGTTACACATTCCTTTGGGTACCTTGTTCCATCCAATTTATTTAGAAAGAGTTGAGAAAATAGATATATTAAAGTTTTTAGCACAACTTACTAATATATTTTTTTAACACAGAAAAAAAATGTTACTTTCTTTTTAAATTTAAATAAATGTGTTGTTACACCTCACCTCGACAACCATCATCTCTCTGATTTTTTTTTTCTTATATTTCGTTCTTTTCTTTTTTTTTAAGATATCTATCTTGCTCCGTCGCCCAGGCTGGAATGCAGTGGCGAAGTCATGGCTCACTGAGGCCTCAACCTCCTGGGCTTGAGCAATCCTCCCACCTTAGTCTCTCCGGTAGCTGGGACCATAGGCATGCATCACTGTGCCTGACCAATATATATATATATATATTTTTTTTTTTTTGTAGAGAGATGGGGTTTCTCCTTGTTTCCCAAGAGGTCTCAAACTACTGGACTCAGGCAATCCACTTGCCTCTGTCTCCCAAAATGCTCAGATTACAGGTGTGCCCCAACACACCTGGACTAATTTTTAAATTTTTTATATAAAGATGGGGTCTCACCATGTTGCTCAGGCTGATCTCAAACTCATGGGCTCAAGTGGTCCTCCTGCCTCAGCCTCCCAAAGTGTTGGGATTACAGGTGCTCACACTATACCGAGACTTCTGAATCTTTTATCTATACGAGAATAATACCTACCTCAGTAGGTTTTTGATAGAATTAAGTGAATAATGAATGTAAACCTACTAGAATGGTGTGTATTACCTGACTGGCTTGGGTTGCTGCTAATATTTTCAAGGAATTTTTTTGGTCTAATGTGAAGCAATCATTTACTGTCTATTAGAAAAGAAATGCATTTCTTAATTCCCCATATTTATTTTATTTTGCTGCAGGGAGACATAATTGCTAGATGCCTGTATCATAACCAATTCAAGTAATACAGAATTTATCTTTGGTGCTAAATACATGAAAATAACTAAGTAACTAAGATAAGTGTTTGGAGCTTTTTTTGAGATACACTATAATTTAGAATATGCTTTTTTGGATGGGAAAAGTATCCTATTAGCAAATTATATATAAATGAATTATCTCAATAGACTCAATTTTAAATTAGTTTTAACAATTATGAGTTTTATGTAGTCTATTTTATTACTCAAGAGTATGTTTGAGGGTGCTATGTTTTTAGAAGTAATTGTAGCACATTATTTTGACATAATTAGAAAGTGTGTATAAAAGGTTTTTCAAAGGTATTTTAGATGATTTGTTGAAAAATTACACTGCAAAAAAATCCTTAATTGTCCTTTGATTATGATTCTGGTGCATGGGTTTTCAGGACCAGTAGTAACCCTATAGCAGAGGAAGTGGTAGCTAAGATACTGGTGATTCTTGGTTTTGACGGTTGAATGTTGAATAAAATGCTTACACCCCCTCCCTCTTTGAGAAAACAAGCTCCCCCTTTCCTCACATACAAAGCCCCAAACAAGATTTCCTCATTGCATTTTTATGCTGCCTGCCTGGATAATGTATTGCCACCACCCACAGGAATTTAGGATTTTTATCCTTTACTTTTCTTGCATTTATATGCAAATGATGTTATTTGCCTTGTCTCAGAGAGCTTAAAATATTGTGAGCATTTTTTTCTTTTAAAATTGACCTACTTCTCATTTAACCCAGTCTTTTGGAGACAGGGGATTCCTTTTATATATTTATCTGTCCATCTGAAACTACCTTTGTTACTTTTGGTACCAGCATCATTTTTTTCTAACTATTGAGTCCCCAGGCCACCTGAGCCACAATTTAGGGACATTCCCCAAATTCAAAATCAAGATTGCTTTCCCTGCTTTCAGGCTGCTTTGTTTGGAAGCTTCACAACTACAGTGAGTTATGTGGAGTTACACCTAAGGTCTTCATACACAGCTCTGCAAGGTGTTTGCGTTGGAAATCGTTTACCTTTTTGGACTTTTTATCACTTAGCTCCACGTAATCATTGGGTAGTCCTTCAACATTTTGATCTTATCGGTATTTTGAGGGGGCTGTGGGTTGTTTTGTACACTTTTTGAAACTTCATCTGTCTGGAACACCTGGTGGTGCTCAGAACTTGAGCGGAGGTCAGGATATCACTATCGGATGAGCAGGTGTGGAATAATTTTCCTTATCCCTTTTGTTTCTGTGTTCACTTTCTTTTGAGGCAAGGGGGTTTTGAAGTTATATTTTCTAACAGGTCATTGATGGCACTGAAATATTAAGAGGGAAGATACAAGATGTAGTGAAAATGAGCGACTATTTTCCCCTTGTACCTGTCTGCTGCTGAATTATCTAGGGCCAGCAACTGTCTAAGGGTTCTGGGCTCCATATCCAGTTTATGGATGGCTGTAGTAAGATGGCAGTGGAGATGATCCTGTTTTGGAGTCTTGTCTGCTGCATCTCAAACATCTGAAACTGATTCCATATTCACATTTGGTTTTCTTCTCCATAACCACCTGTACTCAAGACTGTCATTCAGCATGTCAGTGGACATATTTATAAAATAAAGTGGTACGAGGAGCACTTTTGTAACTTGAGGAAAAGTAAGGGACTCCAGTTACCTTCAAGAGCCTGAGTTAATCTTTATTATCAGATCTGGTGAGTAATGAGAGTTAGCCAACTTGAAAAGGAAGAATTTCAGGGATGCAGATAATCAGCCGTCTAGTGTTCACTAAAGACTCATCAGTAGCTTGCTACCTCTTGGGAAAGCCAGCATACTTCTTTTGAAAGAAAAGATCCACAGGCCTCCTCCTCCCAGAGGCCCAGGATTAAATTGGTGGGGCTAGAGGTGGGGTGGAGGGTTTCTTCCTGAATTGGAAAGTTTTAAGGAGTAGGCATTTGTCAGCAACAGTGGAGTTGGGAGGGTAGGGTACGGACAGGACAGGACCCCTGATGCTGCCACATGTCTTTGATTAGGAGTTCACAGCATCATGCCTCTCCTGATGGAGGAAGCAAAATGTACCTTAATGCATGCTCTGTCTAGAATGATGTGGGAGCTTTGGGGATAGTGTAGGGTGGGCGTGGGGGTATCCCTTAGACTTTGCTGTAGAGTTCACAGCTGCTTTCTCTGAGACACCATCCCCAGAACTCCCTATCATATCTGCTGTCAGCTCTGGAATAGTGAATAGTCTTTGTGTGGATTTGCTTTATGTGGAAAGAGGCATATATAATGTTTTCTTTTTCAATTGGAAAAATGCAATGTGAAACTAAGTTTATTAACCTAATCAGTAGAGGCCGTTGTTTGATATGAAAGTTTGTCTCAGAAGTAGGGTAGGATATTTTTCTGTCTTGTCTTCTCTGTAACCCATTGAAAGAACAGAGAGCCAGAGACATCGCCCCTAGCATTGGGTGCCAAAGTAGGCAGGATCAGGCAAAGAGGTATAACCATGCTGTTCCTAAAGCTCTTTTAATCCCAATTCTAGAACAGTGTGGTTTATTTATTTGCTTTCTTGGTTTTTGCTCATTGGGTCCCACTACCCTCAACCTGCCAA